AGGGATACTGTTGAGCTCGGGGAGGGTGTCCAGTGTTTGTCTGCGACGTGGGCTCTCCTCTGAAGGAGTGGCCAGAGATGGGGGAGGGAAGGCAGGACCTCAAGTCCCATTTGAGGATAGAAAAGGCTGGGCCAGGAGTGGCCAAGTCGGGGAAGGGACAGAGGCCTGCTCTGATGGGGGAGGCTGCGGGAGTGGATCTGCCTAGGGACGGGTGGGCTCGGAGCCCCAGAGTACCCAGATGTCTGTGTGCCTCCGTGGCCTGCGCCCCCACGGATGAGCCGCTGCTCTGGCGGCTTTACCGCCGTTCTGTTTGGTCCTCATTATGGCACCTCAAGTCCTGGGATACCCTAGGGACTTGCCCAAGATCATGCCCGCCAGTCAGCGCCTGGCTCCCTTCAGGCCCCTCCCAGCCGCCTGTGCTCCTGCCCCCGGAGTGGCTCCCATGCTGGCCTCAGGACTCCAGAGCTCACCTGCTACCAGATGAGGCCAGGTGCAAGAGAGGAGCCAGCCTGGGTCGGGGCGCGGAGAGGACAAAAACATGGTCTGCGTGAAATGACAAGGTCAAGTACGCAGTGAGATAGAACCCACACATTCTGTGGTCACTGCCCAGACAGCCAAAGGAAGAAACAACTCCTGGGGGTCAGGAAAGGCTGTGGATTCGAGTTTGAGCGGACAGGGAGGAAGAAGAGAGAAGCACCCCAGAGGGGATCCAGGCTGGAGCAAAGGGGCTGGTTTCAGGTGGGCTTTCTCCTCCCTCAGCAGCTCCGGACCTTGAGCCCCTGCTGTTCATTTCCAGCCACGCTGCTGCCAGCACCAGCACACGAGGGGTTAACTTCTGTCTGGTGCAGTGGCCTCAGCAGCCTCAGCAGCCTCAGCGGCCTCAGCAGCAGCACGGGGTGGTGCCAGTAACTCAGAAGCTGCAACGTGAGAAGCAGGAGGAGAGGGGCAGGGCTGGGAAAGGCTGAGTCTCCGCAGCAGTGAGAAGAGAGGGTTTCCCTGGCAGGACCCTGAGGCTCCGCTCCTGCGGCCAGACCACATCCCCTCAGGATGGTGGCCCTTCCTGCCTCGTGCCGGGGGCTGCGGCACCACGCAGGGTGGTCCACAGTCACGGCCAGGATCCAGGCCCGTGGGCCAGGGGGCAGCAGGTCTGTGCTGCAGATCTGGGGAAGGGGCCGAGGGCTGTACCCAGGCAACCAGCAGAGAATGCACTGGGCCCCGCCCAGCTTCGCCAGAGCACCAGGTGGGGAGCTGGGCAGAGGGCAGACCCAGGAGAATGGGAAGGTTCCTTGGGGTCCCGACCTCAGAGGCCTGGCCTTGACATCCCCCTCCTTGAACAGAACTGAGTCATAGAAGCCTCCCACGGCTCCAGGGCAAGGAGACACACAAAGCTCCCTGCCCTATCCCTGGGCTGGCTGCCTGCCTGCCTCTGCAGTGAGGTCCAACCAGAGACGGGTCACTTCCCAAGTGTGTGTGAGGTGCTGGGTACTGAGTACTTCATCTCCCTTCTCTTGGTCAGTCCTCATCCACCGTATCACTGGATTCACGGGAAGTAGTGTTATGACCACCACTACCAATGAGCAGAGGCTCAGAGAAGTTAAGAAACTTGCTTGAAGCCACACAGCCAGAGCCCCAGAGCAGACTTGACCCTGGGCTTGTCTGACAGGCACACTCAGCCACATGCCATGTGGGAAGGTGGAAAAAGCGAAGTTCACCAGCAGATGAACGTGGGTCTACGTGTTGAATCCAAGAAGGGCAGCCCCGGGACTCCCAGAAAAGCAAAGTAATATAGGCTGACATCAGCACCCAGAGGAGGCAGGGGAAATGCCTGGTCCCAGATGTGTGGATGAATCTGTGGCAGGAGGGACACCCCATAAGCCCCAGGTGCGTCCCCAGAGCAGGTGTACAACTGCTGGACACATTACAGAGCACCTCTGGGGCTTGAGGTTTGCATGGCCCTTGTCTGGAGAGTCAGCAGCATTTACTGTGGGGCAGTACTCAGCAAGGTTCTGCTAAACCGGAATGGAAACACCTCAGTTGGCATCATGGGAGCCTGCCTGGTGACCAGGAGCCGGAGAATCCCAGGGCTTCCAGCAGCATGACCTTGACTCCTCTCTCTGAGCCTCGGTTTCCTGATCAGCCCAAGTTGGAGCATACCAGCACCAACATTCAGGGTTTCTGTGAGGATCACATGAGGTGTTTGTCAAAAAGCACTTAGATTGAAAACCTTTTTTTCTTTTAAGATTTTATTTATTTATTTAGAGAGAGCAAGCATGAGCTAGGGGAGGGGCACAGGGAGAGAGAATCCCAAGCAGACACCGCACTGAGCATGGAGCCCGATGCACGGCTCAATCTCACAACCCTGAGATCACAACCTGAACTGAAACCAAAAGGCAGACACTTAATCGACTGAGCCACCCAGGCACCCCTGAAAACCTTCTTCTTTACAAAAACTTGCACATGCACGTTCATAGCAGCATTATTCACAAAAGGTAGAAACAACCCAAATGTCCATGGATGGATGAACAGATAAACAAATTCTGATCTAGCCAAAGAAACAATGGAATATTATTCAGCCAGAGAAAGGAATGAAGCATTGATACCTGCCATAGCACGGAGGAACCTCGAAGACACGATGCTCAGTGAGAGAAGCCAGACACGGAAGGCCACGATGCGTGTGATTCCATTGATATGAAACATCCAGAACAGGCAAATCCATAGAGACAGAAAGCAGGTTGATGTTGCCAGGGGCTGGGGGAGGGAGGAATGGGTAGGGACTGCTAATGGACTCAGGGTTTCTTTTTGGCTTTTTGTTTTTGTTTTTAATCAATTCCATTTTTTTAGAGCAGTTGTTAAGTTCATAGCCATATTGAGCAGAAGGTACAGAGATTTGCCACACACCGGCCGCCCCCACACACACACAGCCTCCCCGACTCTCAGCACCCTCCACGTGAGCCGTGCATTTGTTGCAACTGGTGAACCTGCAGGGGGTTCCTTCTGGAATTAGAAGGTGGCGATGGATGCACCACTCTGTGAAAGTACTAAAACCCATTGGGTTGTACGCTTTAAAAGGGTGAATTTTATGGCATGTGAATTATATCTCAATTTTTATTTATTTTATTTATTTAAGTAGGCTCCACACCCAGCGTGGAGGCCAATGCAGGGCCTAAACTCACAACCCTGAGATTGAGACCCGAGCTGAGATCAAGAGTGGGACACTTAACCCACTGAGCCACCCAGGCACCCCTATATCTCAATTTTTAAAAAGCACTTGGAAAGAGCTCAGAAAATGCAGCTCTCATTACTATGTCCTTCAACTTCAGAGAGTCTGTCACCCGATGAAAGAGATGAACATATTTTTAAATGCTCGGCATCCAGAAGAGAACCGGGCAGAGTGGTCCTGGAAGCCTGGGACAAGTGACAGAGTCTGGCTAATGGCACACAGGATACACATGAGTGACCTACAGCAGGAACCCCCGACTGCCATGTCAGCTCTGCACAGAACTACTGAACACAAGGCCGTGGGGAGAATAATCCGGGGGCAGGAGACTGCCAGGAAAGGCTTCTCTGAGGTGCAGCGAACGGGCCAGAGTTGGAGGACTTGAGTGGTTTAGTGGGGACGAGGGCACACGTGGACCTATGGAGGCTCAGACGTGTGCCACTGAGCAGGGCTGGTAGGGGTGGAGGGTGCTGAGCCCAAGGGGTGGCACTGCCATCCTAGCACTCTGCGTGCCCCAAGCAGGTTACGGGAGGTGCTTTGCTTCGGTTCACAAATCGGTACAAAAAGGTTGCAGTAGGCCTGCCCTGTGCCCTCTCAGAGGCTCCAGAATTCCAGGTTCCAGGTGAGAGAGAATATATGAGATCAGCAAGTCTGGTCCAGGGCAGGGCTTCCCCATACCCACTGTCGAATGACCAGACACACTGATAATGTGGCACTGGAGGGAAAGAGGCAGCTACTCCTCAGAGCCTGGGCCCTTCCTCCAGCCCCAGGTGGAGCTGAGGGCCCACGGAGGGACTCCAGAGGCAGGCCTGAGCCTGCAGACCCACCGGTGAGGCCCACGAGCTTCTCCTTCCACCCACCTCCTGTCCCTCCTGCCTTCCCCCTCTGTCCCGTGTAGTCCGCAACCCTGTCCAAGAGAAGCCAAAGAGTACAAATACCTTGGAGAAGGGAATGGGGCCAGGCCTGCTGTGAGCACACACACGATGCACACACGCACACGCACGATGTGCACACACATGCACACGCACACACATGCACGCACGCACAAATGCACGGCCCTTTCAGACCACACAGATCAGAGAGAATCACCTAGAACCTACATATAGGGAAGAGAAAGAGAACTAGTTAGCATCTTGTCTCCTCTGGGCCAGGAAAGTGCCAAGGGATTTGCAGGCACTGTCTCCTTCAATCCTTAAAAGAATCCTCTGAGATTTCAAAGATGAAGAAAATGAGCTTCTGAGAGCTTAAGGAACTTAGCCAGTGGGACACCCAGTAGGTAAAAGCCATAAAGCTGAGCACAGTGCCCCAGAAGCCAGTCCTGCGGAGGCAGCTGAGCAGAGTGGGGGTGTGTGCCGTTTCTGCCCACGACCAGGCATTGGCTCCTTTGGGGCACTCCTCACTCCCACTTTCTCCATGTGGTTCTAGGGGTGTTGGCCCTGTACTAGGGCAAGCTCCTGAGCCAGGCTTGTCCAATCAGCATCTGAGCAAGGATCTGAGAAGCCAAGGGGCTTGCTGGAGCCCCAGGGGGAGGCAAGCTGGGAGTTCTCAGGCTTCTGGAAGCACTGATGGGGAAAGTAGAGCAACACAGCGGACACTGGGCCAGGAGAGGGAAGCCAGTGTCCCGGTGCCATTGCTGAGCACGGAACCAGCTAGGCCCTTGGCCCATGAGTTACAGAAACTGTTGAGTAAGTGGTCTTTGAACCCAGGTCTGACTGCAAAGCTCTGCTTCCCTGCCCCTGGCTGTTCCCATAGAGGATCTGCTCCTTTCAGGGCTGCGTCTCACCTCTCCCAGAATCCTGGGGTGGGGCAGTGTTGGACCTCCTGCTCTGGGCCTCCTGCTAAAGCAGCTCCATCGCTCAGTCTGACCTTCAAAGTTGGCATCTGCTTGCAGGAATCCGTCTCTCTCCTCCTGGAATTCAGCCTCCAGATGTCAGATCCAAGGCGGCAGCAGTGGCTGCAGAGGGCTCCCCGGAGTGAATCAGCTGCATTCCAAAGGTGCAAACACAGACGCCACAGCCTCGGCAGCCTGGGGCTGCAGACTTCCTCCCCAGGCCCGCCCGGCCCCCACTCCCGCTCCCCTCCCCTTTTTTTGCCTCTTCCCAGCCAGACCGGGCGTTGGGCTTCCTTTCCAGAGACATTCTCCTGGAACTGCAACAGAGAGAAAAAGAAAGCCACTGGGGCCGGGAGACACCCTGATCTGCTGTGCTGACTCTCTCTACCCCACCGCAGCGAGCACGGACCCCAGCCCAGACCTCACCCCTCCACTGTTAGCAGCATATCCCGGTTCATCTGTTCAGCAGGTATCTGAGCACCTACTATGGGACCACAAACAAGATGCGAACGAGCCCCTGCCGTCATGGAACTCAGCCCAGCGAGAGTCGACAAAATTGGGTCTGAGGACAAAAAAACAATCCCGAGGGTGGGAAGAGCCTTAAAGGAAAGAAAGGGCTGAGACAGTCGACCAGTGACAGAGCGGGACCAGTGACAGAGCGGGACGGGTATTGGGGTGGGGGCCTCTCTCAGGGAGGACTCCTAAGCTGAGCCTGAAATCTCCTCTACAGAGCACGTCTCCACCATCATTTCCCTAGAGCCGGGGCAGTGCCCAGAGAACCCCAACCACGCAGCAAGTCACCATTTCAAAGCACACAATTCAGCACTTTCCAGTATCTTCACCATGTTGCGTCCAATCAATTTAGAACATTTTCAACACCCCAAAAAGACACCCAGCACCCATTAGCATTTACTGTTCATCACCAGCCCCCTCAGCCCCCCACCCCCAGTCCCTGGCAGCTACTCGGGTGCTTTCTGCCTCTATGGATTTGCCTATTCTGGGTGCTTCGAATCAGTGGCATCATACAGTATGTGGCCTTTCGTGTCTGGCTTCTTGCACTCAGCACGTTTTCAAGGTTCATCCGTGTGGGAACTGGTAACATGGATGGACCACGTTTTATTTACCTCCTCATCCGCTGATGGATGTCTGGGTTGCTTCCCCCTTTTGGCTATTGTAATGAGGCTGTGAGCATCCCTGTACAAGTTTTTGCGTGGACCTGTGTTTTCACTTCTCTTGGGTAGATACTTAGGAGTGGAACTGCTGGGTCAAATGGTATCTCTATGTTGAGGTGCTGCCAGACCATTTCAAAGTGGCTGCACCATCTGACATCGCCACCAGCACTGGGCGAGGGCTCCAATTCCTCCCTGTCCTCCCCAATACTTATTTTCTTTTTTTAAAAGATTTTATTTATTTATTTGGCAGAGACAGCGAGAGAGGGAACACAAGCCGGGGGAGTGGGAGAGGGAGAAGCAGGCTTCCCGC